ATATTATGAATTTGCAGCTTATAAAGCAATTACCTAATTTGGGAGAAAAGAACCGTGAGCCTCCAATGTGTTGGCGATACTCAATAAAAGCTCGAGCAATAATTCATGCTCACCTTGGACGAATTTCATTATCTGATACCTTAGAGGCTGACCGAGTACAAGTTGTTAAAAAGTGTCCCTATTTAATTCAAGAGATGGTTCACTGTGCTGCGACACTTGTCCTCCTAGCGTACTCTAGAAGAGGTGGGTCAATTGAAAAAATAAAAATATTAATAATAATAATTAATGTATAGCCCATTGTACTGTTTTAAAATTTCTATACATTTTATTCTAGTTCCCAAGCTTTTGAATATCTTCACTATTGAAGCCATCATGAAAATGAGCCCTATGATAGTTCAAGGCCTGTGGGAAAATAAAAGCCTCTTTCTGCAGCTACCTTACATTCAGGAGGAGCATTTGAAGTATTTTTCTTCCAAAAAGGTACTGGAAACATACATCTCATAGTGATTAAAGCTTGTCTCATTCATTTTCTTTACACACTAATGTTTTTTTGACAGCGGCGCCTGAAGACAATTCAGCAATTAGCGCAAATGAAACCTAAAGAAAGAAGGTCTATGTTACGTTTCCTTGGAGATGAAGAGTATAATGCCGTTGTGAAAGTCATGAGTAGCATGCCTCTTATTGACTTAAATGTTCGGTCAGAAGGTATACTTTAACATCTACGACACCATTCTAATCTGACGTTCCTCTTCGTTTACATCAGGAGTTATGTTCTGTTCCTTTTTACAGTAATTGACGATGAAAATCCTACCCTATACACTGCCGGAGCTACAGTCACCGTGACACTCACCTTACATCGGCGCAATTTAGGAGATATTATGGTTGCAGATGATGCTGAAGATAATGAAAGTAATATCCATGATGAGGAGGAAGATGAAGAGAAAGATGATGATGAAGACAAGGTGAGTTAGTCCAGCATAAGATGTTCAAGTTAAATATAACTGATATTAAAAGTTAAATGTCAGAGATACTTCATGAACTTCATTTTTAAAATTTAAGGTGAAAAAGCCTGCTTGGCAGAAGCAACAACGGAAACAGAAGAAAGGAGGAAACAAGAAGGGGTCCAAACAAAAACAAAGCACAGTTCCAGCAGTAAAGACTGTTCCTAATAAAGTATGCCTTGAGTATTTCATTTTTTACAAGAGCCACACTTTTATATTGCTGCTGGTAATAATTGTTTGTCTCTATTTTCAGGATTCTCCACAGACAGCAACTCAGTCTGCACCCTCAGAAGTAGGAGATGAAAGTGACAATGATGGGTCTCATTCGGAGAGAGAGGAAGATGTTGAGGAAGATGATGAACAAACTTCAATGAGTCAACAAACATCTCAAGGAGATTCCAAGAAGGAGGTAGGTTTACTTTATACACCTTGCATGAAGTGCCCAATATATTTCGTAATGATAACTTGGCATTTCTTTCTGTGATGATTTTCAGAATTCTGGAGATGATGATGAGGAAGATGATGCAGAATGGGAACGATTCCAGGCTAAAATGTCTAAGAGAGAGAAAGCACTGGAGGGTAAAAGCAAAGTCTCTCATCCTACTCATTGTCCCTTATTTCCTGATGTAAGTATTTAAGCTTGATTTAATTATAAATATAAATTGAATAAAATGTAGTTAATTTGGTTGATAATTTTATTAATAATGTTTCCATTTTTGTCCTTTCAGGAAAAGCAGGAGTATTGGTGGGTATATATATCTGACAGGAAGAGTAACACGCTATTAACATCACCATATCATGTTACTTCCCTTGTGGACTCTGATGAAGTGCAACTGCGCTTCACCGCCCCACGATGGACAGGAGTGTATACATTCCATGTATGCCTGCGATCTGATTCTTATCTAGGATTTGATCAGTTACAGGAAATCAAGGTACATTTATTTGTGAGTGGTCTGACAACCAAATTTGGTCCTATACAACTCATTGTTTTAATTATTTTTATCTTGGAAATTGTAGCTGGATGTAAAAGAGGCTCCAGAGATACCAACAGAGCACCCACAGTGGGACATGTCAGAAGACGAGGAAGAGCCTGAAAATGATGCTGGTCATATCTCTGAGTACACTACAGATGAGGATGTGGAAGACGATGACTGAAGAATTGATGCCTTCTACCTCTAGAATATAGACTTAGCAAAAATTTCTATTCATCTTCAGAATGTGAATTGGGTATTGGAACCCTTTTGTGTGAATATCCATTCAGAAAATCATGTAACTTTTCAATTTACCTTGCATGTCTTCAAGGCCTTAAATCTCATGTACATATACTTAAGATCTGCAAGTCATTTACGTTTCAAAATGTAAGACTTCATCATTCTGAGATGATTACTCCCAAATCCAAATTCTAATAGAAAACCAATCCCTCGTTTTATTTGTAAGCTGAAAGGGTCAACCATTCAACTACTGGTTGTTTGTTTTATGTCTAGTAGTTGTAATAATACCTAGGTAAATGACTGACATTAATCAGGGGAACTTATTAAAGAAATACCATGATTTGCCCTCAGATGTTAATTTATTATCAGTATATACTCTATCAGGAAAGCCACACAACAGGTTTTTAATTTTATCAGACTTTCATGATGTTTTCGCAGCGATTGTTGTCTATCTAGTAGTCATTAGACATCAAAGACTTCAAACTTCATTATCTAGACCAATTTTTCCTCCCCTCCACCAGGTTGTGTGGCCACCCTGACTATCTAGTATTTGAGTGATCAGTTCAATAATGTGTGAAGTAGATGTGCAGAAAGTTGGGTTTTACTGTATAGAAAATGGCTTCTTGAACTGTTAAGTGTGTTTGCAGGATTGCATTTTTTTGTTCTCGATGTTTTCCCCTCGAAGCAGTGTAAATCTAGATTTGTATCTTCCCTTTCTTTTAAATTAAAACTTAACATCTGTGATACTCAGAAATATTAGTTGATCGCTGATGGAATCTTTCATAAACCACTAAGGCGCAGGTTAAATTTTCGAGGGGCTCTGATTGAGTGAAACAATTGTATTGCACTTTTATAGCTAAGCAAAGACTGGTTCATTTACGTATCTTATGATGCAGTTAAAATATTAGATGTGCTTTTATGTTGTGAATTTTGTTCTATTTGAAGGTGTAGCACCTATACAAAAGTGTTTTTTTCTTGTTTTCATTTACTTTAAACCATGGAAAGACTTGTGTATGAAATCTTATATAATTGTTTGGTATGGATGCAAATACATTTTATGAATTATTTAATAATGAAATTATTTTACATATCCGAATTAGTACTACTGAAAAGCACAACTTCAACACGATGGAATGAGGGACCATTACAACAGTAACAAATTCCACAGATCTTGTGAAAATTTTCCCTAGCCTGGAGCACAGAAGCAGATATCACAGGCTCAAGCAGTTCAAGAGCAAAATTGAAGGATGAATACTGAAAAATCCTATCCCACATTGTAAATAAAATACAATACAACATTATACCACAAAACAAAACCAAATAAGATTACAAGCTTTAAAAACTTTAGCATTACTGAAGACTGGACACGCATTAATGCAAAACAATTATCACATGTTTCTAAATAAACTTGTTCCACGTTTTGTAATAAATGCTACCACATTACTTTTGGCATGAATTTTTCATTCATGCTATTGAAGACTTACTTACGTAATGTATGAATATATATAAAAATGGTAAAATAACAATATAGACGTTTTTATCCAACAAAAATTTTAGAGTTAACAAAGCCTTAGTCCTAGTCCTTGTTAAGAAAAAGGAACATCTGCCAAGCAATAAGAATATTGTTCCTTGACGGCTAATAAAACCCTTATGTACTAAACAGACCCAATGTTTAAATTATTTTGTTTGAAAAAACCAATAGAATAAAACATTTACAGGATCAATGATCCAATTTTAAAAAGTGCAATTTGATTGCAAATTGATGTCTGTTTATGACAGTGAGGACTTACTTCATGGTTTCGGAGCAGGAGCAACAGTACTTGGATTCGGACTGTCCGAACCAACAGATGATGCAATCCAGACTGGAACAATCAGCACTTGTTAAACCGTGAAATGATAACTATACTATTTACTGAATGACTTAGACCATCACTTACTTATGATAATAGCGAGGAGGACAACTCCTATCACTCCCATGATGATCATCATCTGAAAATTACAGTATAAAATACAACATGATGATATGTATTCAGTTCAAATTGAACTTTTCATTAGAGTGGAATTTTATATAGGAAATGCAATACTATAAAGTACCTTTATATTTTGCCACCAGAATTTACGCTTCAACCTTGCAGCTTGTTGTTCAAAAGCTGATGCTCCCATCCTGAGTGCATCTGTAAAATAGGCAATTTTATTATATGCAAGCAAGAAAAAATGCACTTTTAGAAATAAAAATTAAAAAATGATAATCTTAACAATATATAAGTGTTAAGTGATGGGATAGATACAGTTTCCAAGCCGGTGGTGGGTTCCTCACCTGCTCGACTATCTAATTCAGTCAGTTTTTCATCTCGCTCCAGGACACGATCAATATTTTCTCTCATAATATCCACGACCTAGTATCACAAACTAGATTAATTACACCAGGAGCTTAAAAAACTGTGCATGAAGGCATACTAGGTCCTAAAGGAGGCGTTATCTTTCCACCACTGGCATTTTGCATTGGCATCTATCCCATTCACCAAACTCAAGAAGTTCAAATGGTAGGCATGCTAACACTGCCACGAATCTCACCTGCTCGGTCATCCAGCTCCGACAGTTTCATATCACGCTCCAGAACTTTTTCCACATTTACTCGCATGATGCCAACAACCTAAGAACAATGTCCCAGTGTTTTTTAGCAATGAAGAAATATTTAAAACAGTGGGTTTACTACCAGAAAGTAAAATCTTTTTTGATTGAATGATTGTTGGACCCGGGAAAGTTAAATTGTATAAAAAGAATCACAAGAGAAATACACAGGCTGAATTGAGGACAGTTCAGTTCCAATGCAGCAAAAAAAAACTTAAAATCAAAACATATCTAGCAAAATATAAATTTAAAAATACGCTTTATTTTTTGAAGTGTAAACCAAGATAAAAGATAATGAGTCAGAACCATGGTGTGAGAGATAACGCCTTCAAAGACAAGTACACAATATAAATTCTATCTTTTGCATGATACAAGCAGAGCAGTTAAGCTGAAATTTCATGGAAACTTGAAGTAATTTCATTAATGCATTACAAAGAGAATTAAATCTTGAGAAAAGGATAGTAGGGAAATATAGTACTTCACTTTTAAAACAAAATAGATAGATAAGAATTGTGTGCTATTCATGTTCAGAGAGTTTAGTTACTTCATTTTTTAACTTTGGGCATATGGAAGTATTAACTATAATAATTATACAAAATAAAACCATAATGGAAGAAAATAAAAATTAACTCTGAAGCCGGCGTGTAAGTGCCTGTACATGAAAAGGAAACTGATAAAATTAAAATACCTCATCAACTTGGGCTTGAGTCTGTTGCAGTTTCTTTTGAGAGTTACCCAGCTGTGATCCTGGCGGCCCACTTGCCCCAGAGCTGCCGGAAAATCCACCAGACCTGTCCATGTTCCTATGGAAAGCAAAATATGAAGAAGGAATGAAGAAAGGTACAACAAAGGAAAGATATCAGTAAAATAGTAAAACGTAGAGCAGTAAGTGGTTTTAAGAACTGATATTCAAAATTGAAAAACAGAAATTTCAATGATAGAAATAATGAAAGAAATGAAAGTCTGCCGTAGCATTAAACGAGATATTGTCAAAGGTTAGAAAGGAAAGAATGGTCTGAATAGAAAAACATCGAACAATGCTCAAATTTGAGTGCTACAATCTAAAATATGTGAAATGAAACAGGTATGTCAAAATGTCTTGACATTTCTGAGAACTGACACCTGAACTCGACAGATTTTATTTCAATAGCCGTACCGCGAGAAATAAATAAAAGATCTTAAATAATCATTCTTTCATAGACTTAGACTTAATTTCAGCAATTGATATGAACATAACCTGTTGAACTTAGGTTCAAAACCAATGTCACAACAACTGACATGGCGTCGAGCAGTTATGGGAGTAAGCCAGGGCCATACAAAATTGAAACTCACCTCAAAATCGCAGACTGTTCAAATAAAGACTGCTACAGATGCAGATGATGACAACCGCGAAACTCGCACTCGGCCCTGCAGACAGAGCGCAGGTACAAACTAAACGAACGTTATCAAGGGCGATCTGAAACTGACCCGACAAAGATTGGGGAAGCAAGCAGAGCAAGCAACAGTTCTTTCCGGCGACTGAAGGTGACGTCACCGACATAGGTACTGTAGTCGCGGCCTTCTATAAAACTGAGTAGGTTGTCAGTTCAAGTTGTCTTAAAAAGAACAAAAATATGGGACTCCCCCCGCCGCCTCCTTTACCCACCACCTCCATATGTCCATCCCCTCGAGGTGCTTACCTTTTTTAATCCTTACTTTTTTAAAATGGTTCCAAGTACAGCGAGTAGGGGTCATAACAAGATTTCCACTAGGTAAAAAAGTATCTCCGTGAAAAGTTTTTGAACGACATTAAATATGAGTACCTTCTTTTCCGAGGAAATTCGCCTTGGAAAGGCAATACTATGGCTCTTTATAATGATTGAACATATCATAATATATTTGGAACGTCTTTTGCATTTGCTGACAAGTATTCTAAAGAGAAATAAGGCATTAATATGAAGTAAAGATGGAAGAAGAGGGAAGTCCAACAGCCGCACTTTTCAAAGAAACACGAGACGAAGGAGAGATTGCGACCGAACATAATATGAAAAACTATGCACTACGCCTAACGGTCGCTATGGATATTGGCTACAATATACTCGCCAACAGGGCACCCAGTGAGAAACAGTTACATCGAAATGATGTCAGACTGATATCGTTGTCGGTAAATTGTCGATTATCGTGTCGAATCGATCCTCAGATGGTCTTAAAATCGAGACATTTCCGATAACTGACATCTATTTGATGTCGATTCGATGTCACATCGATTTTGATTTCTCACTGGGCAGCGCGTTTACCAGTTGCTGTTTTTTTGCTGTGCTGTATCGCATGCAGGCGTGAGGAGGGGTTTATTATGCACACTCCCGGGGGGTCGTAGGGCGCCTTGTGGTGAGTGACGATAGGCAAGACCGTACGCACGCCAGCATAGGGCAGGTGCACTGCCGTTTTGCGAGTCGCTAGCGGTGATGGAACCCATAACGTTCTCTTCCATCTGGGGATCAATGTGCGGGAAGCTTGAATTTCGCCACTTGCAAAGGCGGATTTGTACTAAAATTTGCAATTTTGATGATCAATTTATCATTCACGTTCAAACAGGGTAACAAAGAAATACCCTCGCCACTCGAGATCAGCTTTGGGGCTAGATATTATGAAAGTCTCTAACCTCACGCCAACTTCTGCTACGGC